CGCCCCCCGCACACCCCCCCACAGCAGGAACTGAGCGGGGAGCAGCCCTCGGAGCAGACGGTGCCCCCGCAGGTGCCGGGTTCAGCTGCTGTATTTGGGTCGTGGGTTCGGGAATAGAAACACCAATTTGGGAGTTTTAAGTAGATTTTGTCCCGATGGGTTATTTTCTGTATTTATGAACACAAAGGTGTTCCCTTCCCTTTCAGTAAGGTAAAGGTTAGGGCTCTTTTCTGCATGGAAAATAAATAATTAATGCGTTATATTGTAACTGAGAGAGCTAAACATAAGACGCCTTAACAAGCCAAATTAATTTGGAGTCTTTTTAAAAAAAATACAGTTTTATTGATTTCAGAGAGGAAGGAAGAGGGAGAGACAGAAACATCCATGATGAGAGAGAATCATGGATTGGCTGCATCCTGCACGTCCCCCAAATGGAGCCCACAACCAGGGCACGTGCCCTTGACCAGAGACGAACCTGGGACCTTCCGGTTTGCAGGGCGACGCTCTATCCAGTGAGCCAAGCCGGCTAGGGCTAATTTGGAGTCTTTTTTACACCAGCAGGGTCAGAGGAATATTGCTTCCAGAGTCTGAGCAAGAACATGGAGGAAGCTTTCCCTTTTTATATTTTTCTAATGTCTTTGTCTCCTAAATATGGTGCTTCCAGTCCCTTTTGCAAGTTTTCAAAAGAGCCCTATATGAGCTTATCAGGTATCTCGCAGGAAGCCTGTAGACTTGAGTACAACACAGTTCAGTAGCCTTGAGTACAGATAACTAAACGACACCTGGTGTTGGGTAGCTAGGCCGGCAGCGGAGCCCTCCGGCTCGCAAGGTCAGACCGTTGAGCTTATTTTTCCTATCGTGAGAGCAAGCGTGTTTTACAGAAGCCAGTAATAGCAGGATTAATTCACAGGACAGAGGACTGTCTATGTCTAGTGGAAATTTCAAACAGCAGTTTTTACAAAATAGAGGTTACTATGCTTCAAATGTACTGTATTTTCTTTAAGTTACTCCTGACATTGCAAGAGTAACCTCTTCAAATTTATAATTAGTGGCATTTTTTTCCTACTTGCAAAGTGCTGCAGATTTCCCATATTGAAATGGTTTTGAAACTGGGTTATTTCTAAATTTTCATTTTCATGAGCAATACTCTAAAGAGCATGCTTGCTTAGATAAATATTTTCAAATACTGGCAATTATTTCCTCAAATTTCTAGAAGTGAAATCACTATATCAAAGTTTATCTAGTTTTAAATGCTTTTAATAAATACAGGCCAATTACTTACCTAAAAATTTGAAGCAATTTAGGTACCCCAAACTTGATCGGCACAGAATACCATAAACAACAGTAAAATGGGTGAAAATGGTGAGGCATTGTTATTTGCTTTCATTAATGAGGTTCAACATTCCTGTTACAGGATTTGTGTTACCTAATTTGTATTGAGGTGTTCATCTTCCCTTATTGATCTGTTAAACTCATTATATGAAAGATAAACTTTTGCAATAGTTTCCATTTACCAAGAATCCAGACAGAAGTTCCTTTTACTAATAAGAATCCTATTAAGTCCCTTAAACATCTCATAAAAACTACAAGCTATAAAATTAACAAGGGTCGAATGTCAATCTTTAAAAACCAAACCATGGCCCACATTTACTGCCTTTATAATGTTATCATGTGATACGGTCACTTTTATTACTGGTCATTTTTTGTCCCACCCTTATTTCTCTGTTCCTTTATGCATATTAAACTCCTTTTACCTTATTTCACTTTATGTTGTAAACTGTTTGAAGTCCTTTCTGGGATAAGGATTTCTGAGATGTAATTAAACATGCAAATATTTTACTATTTACTAACAATATTTACTGTGCAATAGGACTTGCCTTTTCATGAAAACATTTACAAGAGAAACTTTGAAAAGCCCCCTAAATAATCCTATGTAATAAAAGCCTAATATGTTAAGTGTCCAGTTATGTGGTCATCTGTTCAACCAATCAAAGCATAATATGTTAATGATATGCTCAGGCTGTTCAACCACTCACCATGACATCCACTGACCACCAGGGGGCAGACGCTCTGACCAGTTGGTTCGCTTGCTGCTGGGGTTCGGCTGGTCGGGACTGAGCAAGACTGGCCCTGGAGCCTTCCCGTGGTCCCTCCCCAGCTCTGATCATGCACCGGTGGGGTCCCTCGGCCTGGCCTGCTCCCTCTTGCAATCTGGGACCCCTCAGGGGATGTTGGAAAGCCAGTTTTGGCCCAATCCCACAGGCCAGGCCGAGGGACCCCACGGGTGCATGATCAGAGCTGGGGAGGGACCACGGGAAGGCTCCAGGGCCAGTCTTGCTCAGTCCCGACCAGCCGAACCCCAGCAGCAAGCGAACCAACTGGTCAGAGCGTCTGCCCCCTGGTGGTCAGTGGATGTCATGGTGAATGGTTGAACAGCCTGAACATATCATTAACATATTATGCTTTGCTTTCTTGTGCCTCCCTGTGCCCCAATGAGACCCAAGAACCCCCGGGGACAAGGCCTCCTTGGACACTTTTCACCGTGTTCTGTTGGGGGTTTGGGGGGGGGGTGCTTAAAAGGCAGCAACTAGAAAAACTCCAAAAATTAGAAGGATTTGAAGGAATGAATCGGTCACAGCTGGTAGAGGTAGCCCAGAAAGTCTTTACCAATAGGGACACCCCGGAGGAGAAGCAGGACAAGAGAATGACTAAGGCAGTGGTAGCTGCATTAAGAGAAACAGGCACCAAGACAAAAGGAGAGGGGGAATGGAAAATGGAAAGAAAAGGCCAGCAGAAAACTAGGAAGGTATTAGTATGCCTATTGTAGGAAGTGGGGGCACTGGAAGAGAGAATATCCTGGGAGGTTAACAAAGGAAAGCGGAAGGCTGAGGGAAACCCCAGGCTTTGAAGGATTTACACTCAGGGAAGGGGACTAATAGGGCCAGAACACCTTTTCCTTGAACCCCTTAGAGTCCAGAATAATAATTTTTATAAATAGAGGCTCTGAAGGATTTACACTCAGGGAAGGGGACGAATAGGGCCAGGACTCCTTTTCCTTGAACCCCTTAGAGCCCAGAATAATAATTTTTATAAATAGGACCCCCAGTTAGTTTCCTGGTGTGTTCTGGGGCAGCCTATTCAGTTTTGACAGAGCGAATGGGACCCGTAACATCTAAGAAGACATCAGTCCAGGGAGCCACCGGACAAACTGCCTTTTTCCTTGGACATCAAAGAGGACTGTGGACCTTGGAAAGAACACGGTAACACAATCATTTCTGGACATGCCAGAATGCCCATACCCCTTACTTGGACGTGATCTCTTACAGAAATTACAAGCCACCATATCCTTCGACGGGGACGGAGCACACTTCACCGTGGATCCAAGGAACCCAAGCCCGGACCCGTCCTCCCCTGTCCGCACTCTTCTAACCTGTCCTCTCTCAGAGGAATATCTCTTGCAGGAAAAGGCCAAGGTGACTCTGCTTACTTGGGGAAATTACAACGTCTCTTTCCCATGGTTTGGGCAGAAAACAACCCCCCGGGGTTAGCAAGTCATCAAGCTCCTGTAGTAGTCCAATTGCAAGCCACCGCCACTCCAGC